GTCAACATAATAGGTTTTAATGTGAAGTCCAGGGCTGTACCGATCATTGATGGTTACCTGTGAGAGAGATAACATTTGTGTTCCTCCTCAAAAATAGCTATCCTTGCCTTCTAAGATGCATGCTAGTACCCCCCTATGTGTTGGCACTCAGCGTAGGCACACTTCTCTTGGTATGGGACAACACTAAGAATTATTGATTGTGAGAAGATCCACAATCCCTGTGAACATGTTTTAATTTTTGAATTTACTAGACTGGTTGCATAAATGCAGGTCCTTTCCTGCAGTGCTATCTTTATACTTAAGTAATATTCAAACTTGAACCTTTCAGGTTGAATGCTGTTACTACATTTTACAAATTTAACTCCTTATCATAGACTTTTTCTACCAAACTGATGATCTCATCATCATTTGTCCCCATTAATAGAGAAGTTTCCATTAAAAACTCTCTCTTTTTGATGTGTCATAGCTATTCTTTTTCATGTATTACCATGAGGCAGCAAAATGTAAAGCATGTTGGGTACATCCTGATTTAATTTGTATTTGCATTGCAACCATGAAGTCACCCATGTATTTATAGGACAGTAAATACTCTTAGTATGATGAAACATCTCAGGGCTGTTGCTCCTAAGTTTCTGAACAGATTTTATCCATTTTAATCTTTATGCCGTTCACTGCTGGTGGGGTTTACGTAAATATTGAGTAATTTTATGTTTTAGTCTGTTACAACACTGACCAAACTAATCGAGTGAAATTATTCTTTTTCTGTGTAAAATACACGGGGAACCTCAGTAATAATTATGTTATTACTTGCAATTTTTATACATATTTTTGATTAAATGTTTGAGTGTGATTTTTATATTATTAGAGACCTAGTAATCAACAGTTATAGATCTACAAGCAGTTTGGTGCATAAATATGTTTTAGAAATTGCGAGCCATTTAGTAACTTTGAACATGTTTAACTGCTATATATAACCTTCTAGTATTGCTGCAAATGATGATGTAATCAGTAAGTTGCAATGCATTCTTTAAGAAAGTAAATAGGGTATCCTTTCAATTAAGACATTATTGACAATAACACCCTTTTATAAATAATTTATGTACATGGTAAACTAACAAAGCTGAAATGAGCTGCAACTACCTAGTTCAGAATGACACTTGGAGAGAAAGTCTAGGAGGTCTCACCTAGTTCAGAATGATACTTGGAGAGAAAGTCTAGGAGGTCTCACCTAGTTCAGAATGACACTTGTAGAGAAAGTCTAGGAGGTCTCACCTAGTTCAGATAGAACTATGTCTTGAATGAGAAAGCTAAAAGTAAGGCCATTATATTGTACTTTCTCAGGAAGTAGCTTTCATTGTGCTTTATAATCTGTGAAAAGCTGTACATATACGAGTTGTGTATAAAACCTCACCAGCATTTTTATATAGACCATTTATATCACTTCCATTGTAAGGTGAGTTCCCTAAATTTTCATTAATTGAAGGTTTATTCAAAAACTAACTCTTGTTAAACACCTGTCCTATTTACTGACTGTTATTAAAAAGTTTGTTCTCTTACTGAAAGATATGTTTTTCATTTTTATCATCATCTATACATTGTTCTTGGTAAGTGGAGTGAGATAGCTTGTTAAAATATTGATATTGCTCCTACTGGTAGAACTAACTTTCTGTGCCAAGTTCCATTGTACTTAGTGGGAAGGATTTTCTATTAACTGGCTTTGTCGTTTTTATCTTGTTTGATATGGAGTAATAGTTCAACAGTCTGTTTCTCATCATCCTGACAATTCATTTTGGAATTTTTCAACTGGTAATAAGGGGTCTACATAACTAGGTTTTATTTTTACAATGCGGTCTTTATCTAAATAATAAAGTTATTTAGCAGAAACAAAGATATGAGCTTTACTTGACTTCACTTTGAATTCTAAAGATATTGGCATTGGATTGTATTAAATCTTGACCAAGCAGTTTGTTTCAGTCTTTTGATCTTGACAATGATTGTAAAGGTGAACAAAATGTGTGGATGGTTGAAATTTCAGATACTAAAGAAAATAGAAATTGATGAATTTCTAAAGATCTGTGATCATCAATAATTCCTGTAACATGAAATGTAATTAGGTTTGATATTTTTTTTCTGAGATACAACAAACATGGGGAATAAAAAGTTCACTGATACTACGAGTATCAGTGAACAAAAATACAATACTCCTAATGGTGTAGGCTGCCAAGAAATATGACAATTGTTGAAGTAGAGATGACACAAATCATATTTATCAAACTACCAACAGAAAGAGTTATTCGCATAGTACTGATAACCCCATTTATATTTCATCAAAGCGAAAGCTTCTCTGTAAACAAATAACGTAAACTAACAGGTTCCAACCACTGGACTGCAGACCAGTGCCAGTCCACTGAAGCATCCAGTGGGAAATAAAAAGTATTGTGTAAGATTTGTTTTACGTGAAACTTTTAATCTGTAAATTTGTATGTAAAAAACTATTCTTTTCTTCTTAATTTGTTGTATAATAATTGAACTTCAATTACATACACTTCAAAGCTTCTTGAAGATTCTGTATAGACCTGTAAACTCCTAATGGGTTGTAAGCTTTTTTTTTTAACAAAGATTTTGCCAGTCTGTGAAGTGAAAAAGGTTGGGAACCACTGACATAAACCATAGTTCTTGTTTCCATTAACTAAAAAGACTTCCCAGGGTACAGGTAGCCTGAACCACATTTCTTGTACTGCTAATAAAAAGATATTTCTCAGGGTAGAAACAACACTAAACACATTTTATGTGCTTTCAACAAAAAGAAATTTCTCTGGATAGAGATAGAACAAATCAGAGTTCTTTGAATTTTAAGAAACAGCAGTGGTGGAATTAGACATTGTGCAGCATATTTAATCTGGTACTCTGATAGGACATATTATCAGTACAGTTATGGAAAAAGTGTGTTAAAAATTATGATTCTCTCACCATATTATATGTACACATTTAACAAGCTCTTTATAGCTCTTACAAAATTTATTACCTAGAATTACTTAATGGACTAGCTTCATCCCAGAGCTAGATAAAAGGACCCCAACATAACTTGTGATATACTAGTAAATATATAAATAGTGTGATTGTTGTGGAGGCTAACTGGGGTAGTTTAATTCACACATAATTAAATGCATGGTCGATAAAGAAAATTTTATCATAACTTAATCAACATCAGATGTGTGTGTGTATATATATATAATGTTCAAAAATACAATTAGGGCTATGAATCCCATTTAGTTAAAACATATAGTGCATGCCATCTGCTATTATAAATATTTCTAGATTTTTATGGTGTTGAAGATACAATATTTAGTTTGTTGGATTGTTGTTTAATTGCTTTAATAACAATTTTTGAGAGTTTTGGACACTACAGCCATTATTTAACATTTTGGACATCAACCTATATTGCTTCAAGCAGGGTACCTCTCTCTCAGTAAGTGTTATTATGACTCACAGCTTACTGATTTAACCCTTTCACTAAAGTGTGCTAGTAACAAAAACAAAACCTTAAAGTAAAAATAAAATATATTTTTAAGTTTAAGTTTTGTCTATCAAACTTCAAAAGTGTTTTAACATAGAAAGAATTGTTAATGATAAAGTCACTTCACTTTAAAATCTCTTCTTTTTTGTATTCTGTTTTCACAGAGTTCCTGATTTCAAAGTAAAACTACTTTCCAGTGTTTTTGAAAAACTATCCAAACAATTTTGAAAATACAATAAGCTTTTTTGTTAGGGGGGTTAAGGCTCATAATTAGAGAGTTTCGGGTTCGATTCCCATTACCACTAAATTTGCTTGCTTTGTCTTTGTTATGGTAGAGCTACTCAGGCTGTCTGCCAATATCACTAATTTTGACCTGCTGACTTAAGGAATGTCAACTTTGCTGGCAGCACGTGCCTGATTATTTCCTGTAAAAACCATGGTTTAAGGAATACTGTACTAATAAATCAATCAAATGTAATCAATTAATCAATTAGCAGATATCACTAATATATATATTTATATATATTTGTGTGGTTTTATATACTTGCATATCAACCAAATTTCATTAACTATTGGCTCATTTTTTTCTTAATTGTGCATAGAAATTAAGATCTGGGTGATCATCTGTTGTTTAACTTGTACATAAGTATCAAAACATTGGTATCAGTTCATAACTGTTTATATAAAGTCACCTCAGCTCCCAATGTAAATGGTTAGAGTGACAAAGGTAAAAAAAGCAATGTTGTTGTTTTATCCCTGATGGTAAATTTGGCCAAGTGGTTAAGCTTTAGATGTCAACTTTGCTTTGAAGGCAAGATAGTTTAAGAACCAAACTAAGTAGTATGCATTTTATGTGCACATAAAATAAAGTAAAGGTCACATACAGGTCAAATTAGATTTTATTATAGCAAAACTTTCAAACCTTGGTTGTTATTAGACTTAAAGATTAATGATAAATGCTACAGTGAGGTCACATTAGTTAGTTGTTTTTTATCAAATTTGGTCAAGTTAGTCTTTGGGTTATAGGTACCATTAAATTCAAGTTGATTTTAAGGTTATTGTTCAAGTTCCTTTTTTTTGCTACATTTGTTGTCATTTCGCTACAAATTGATCATTCAAACTTCTGTTTAAAATGCAATATTCTTTTAAATATTTTAAAGACTAAAGCATGTTTAGTTAGACTTGTTATCCACAAACCAAAACAAATGCCACTTATTGCACTTGGATTGATTGATTTAATAAAATGATATTAGCTATATTAACTTATGGTGTAATTAACTTTTTTTTTCCTTATTCTTTTTGATCAAATTACTGTATTTGTTCCCAAACTTAGTTTCTTCTGGTGTTAGCTATAACTGACGGATATGGACTTAATGCTAAAAAAAAAACTATTTGTTGAAACATGTCGTTTCAGTTCAGACTTTTACAAATTTAATATCAATAATTTCTTAAAATATAATAAAGTTGACATATATAAACTCACCATCATGGACTTCAAGTAGAGCATCACCTTTCACATATATGCACAATCTAGGTGAAAAAAGTAAAAACTGTTATTATTAAAAACATTGTCAGAACCTATATTTTACTCAAACCTCCTTTTTAAAACAAGTTTTTCATTACATTTTATGTAAATACATTGTTAAGAGAACTGTTATATTTGACATGAAACTATTGTCTGTATGAAAATCAAAATGGTTATTTTGCAAACAAAATTAAGTTGTACTGCTTAAAAAGATAGTTTAAATTAAGCTACCACTGAAGTTAATTTTTAGTGTTAAGGGTGTTTTAGCTATTTATCTGTGTACAACGTTTACTTATTTATAAATTTAATTACAATTAAGCTAAAACTAAGAAGGGTTACACGCATAAAAATAATTAAAACTGTGGCACTAATTACCTCATCTCTTTAGCTCCAAATTAATGATAATTAATCTGTTGAAGTAGGCTCTCATTTTTTATTCCCAAAGAAGAATAGTCAAATATTCGCAAGCGCCTAAGTTTGTGGGTATTTTTAACCCTATTGGATTTAGGTGATTCTTTCTGATAGTTCTTTCATTATATATAATTCATTTTTAAATATTTATAAAAAGAATTAGTAATGGTACATACGAACGATAGATGGCACCACTATAATACAAACTCCTAACCTTGCAGTTTTTGATAAGTGTATATATGTTGTATGAAACGGTTCGATATACCGTATACGAGATTACTTAAAATTGTTTTGTACGAAATATTGCCCTGAAACCATTTGTTTCGTATATATTTTCAACTGAAGTAACGCGAAATAATTTTGTAAAGTTTTATTATTACTTTTTATATTTCGTTTGATGTTTAACAGTATTCACATATTAAGACCTTTGATAGTTTGAAGCACAGTTTTCAAAGTACTAAAATGGAATTGTTGCCGCATGCTTCCATTTTCTTCGTGTTGGTTAAAACTATGACAAACTACGCCTAACAAATGTGTAAAAATCATGGTAAACTACAAATTTGCTTCAAAATCCGTTTAATTAGTTTATTATGGATTTCAAATCTAAGACATAACAAATAGTATTTTAAATCTTTTTGTCCTTTTTTTTTTCTTTTCATATTTATGTGCCACATGAAGCTGCCCTGGAGACACTAGTCAATATCCCTCATCAGCTTAGACTTACGCAAAGATTAGGGAGTTGCTATCTTTCATTTTGTCAGAGGATAATGTAACAAATACAGTTCATGTATCATTCACGAGGGGGGGGGGGTACTTCAACCTAATTTATAGCTAAAGGGTATATGAATAAAATTCTGCGGTGGTACCTTCTAGTGGGAAATCATGTACGTGTAAGCTCAATTCAGGATTAAGGAAGATTATGGGTCAAAAGTGCTAGAGTTTTTCGGGTTTTTATAATACGATTTTATAAATCTTTTTCAATATTACATTTTTATTATAATAAACAACGAAAGTATATATGCTAGTAAGTTTGATTGCACAGTAATTGTAAATGCCTATCTAGTTAAGTAAATATAGGTTATCAAACCTTAACTGTAATTTTGTTTCTTCAACTATTAAAAATATTTTATCAGAATGATAGCATTACAGTATGTACTATTGCTCGTTTATTATTCATTTTATAATTGAGTAGTAAACTTTATATGGCATTGGTATCGTCAGTGACAAAAAATTTAGAAAAATCGTTATTTTTGAATCTTAATCCAAAAGTAGCAAGTTGCAAGTGAGAAGTACAACTTCATAATCACATGTAGCTTTACGTCGTACAAGGTACGGTTAATGTTACTTTTATTAAACTTAAACATTTGTTTTCGTCTTTGTGATTAAAACTGCTGAAAATCAAACAACTTCAATCTAACTCACCTTTGTGCATTTGCTGAATTATAAATACATACTTCAGTTTAATACAAAAAAGGAGTCTTCCCGTGAAATGGGAGAGTTGACAGACAGGCCGTTATTAATTAAATACCTTAGCATTAACTGCATTAGTATCACGTCTTTCTAAATGATAAAGAAATTTCCAATAACTTAACGTGGCTTAGACTTAAATAACTGAAAAACATTTGTACTTTCAAATGTAAGATGTCAAAATTACGAAGTCACTGGTCGTGTGCAATACAACTAGATAGCGGAGTCACCTGGTGACGGAACATTACACAATTATGGCAGTACATCTAACTAATGGAAGGAGGTGGAAATAGTTTGAGCGCTAATGTATTTAAGTGCTTAAAAATTGCAGCTTACACTTGCATTACCAAATCATAGCTTGTGTGTCTTTCAAAGTGTTGAGATTTTTTTGTATTTATAGTGTAAATATATTTTTGTTTGAAAGGGCAAGTAAGGAGTGAAAAGCTAACGTATATATAATTTGAAAGGTTAACTACGGTTTTAAACCTTGTAATATTAACTAATATAGCGAATACGCCAAAAACAAAATTTACAAGATAAAAAAATAACATCATTCATCAATCAATTAATAAAAAAGAAATTGTTCTACGTACGTTCGCAACCAAAGATTTTCATTTGCTAATGATTTTTGTAATCGCTCTTCAACACATAGTTTCCTTCTCACGTTTTTTTTTTTTTGTCGTCACCTTGACAACCGATTTACTCCGCCAATTGTAAAGCATCTAGAACACAAAACATAATAACTATTGATAAGTAAAAATAAAATAGTCTTAACTTTGATATTTTGAAATGTAATTAGCACACTACGGGGCACGTAATTACATAAGTAATTATTATCATATAATTTACTGTCTTTTAATGAGTGATCTGATTTGTAATTTCAAAGTATTCTTTGATTTTTATAAACACGTAGTCAGGCACAGAAAAAAAAAAGCATAGTAAATTTCGAGATAGAGTTAATCTTCATTATAGTTGCTTATTTTTTCAGTCAGACTAATTAGTAAATATATTTTTGTTAAAAGCAATTTCTTCAGAAAGAACTCATTTATAAAAAGAATTGCGTGCAATTTAAATAAAGTATTTATTTTACTAATTTGGGGCATTGTACTTAATGAGAAATTTGTATTTCAAAACTAGGAATACATAGATTGGTGTTTAATTTAGATAATTATTTGTAAATTACCAAACTTTTTAATGACTTTTTCCATTAATTACTTTTGTATATTAACAGGGAATAATATAGAAAAATTTTAATGTCTTAAACCGAGCGAGTGGTCAAAAGAAATGAGTGTTTTTAATAAAATTTATGTATATATATTTTTGCAGTGAATTTTGTTTAGTAATTTCCTCTAATATCATTTGCTTATTTAAGAAAACTTAGAAGAAAAAAAATTGGGTAACAAGAAGAAAAAAAACAAATATACATTTAAGATTGTATTTATAGTGTTATTTACTTCAGTTCAATATTAATTGTTTAATTAGTGTAATATTTAATTAAACAAAGTTTGTAGATCCAGTTAGCATAAAGAAAACATGAAAGTTTACAAATATATTATTTGTTAGGAGTAAATATTCTTCCCAATAAGTGTTCAAGAGGTATGGGAATAATCCTGAGATTTTTTAAAATTTGAGAAGACTTTTTTTTTTGGAGGAGTAGTCATGGAAAAGGGCAAAAATTGAGATGCAAAAAAAAGAAGCAAGGGAAGGGAAAGTAGGGGAAAAAAAAATATATTGTGTTTTGTCACTCAGTCAATCAGACACAGTAAAAAGATTAGAAAAGAATTTCAGGAGACTTGATTGAGAGTGTGGGAAGAATAAGTGATTTCTTTTTTTTTGGAAGATTATTTGCTTCTGTATCTGAGCTGAACCTGTATTACTTACAATTACACTCTCCATGTGTCTGTGCCAACATTGTAAAATGTTTCATTTTTAAATTAATTGTCAGTGGCTTACTTAGGTTTGATATTTAATTGCTGTTTATAATTAACTTCTGACAGCAACTTAGGTGAAATTATTAACAGAAACATTCCGAAATGAAGAGTGTGGTTTCTTAAATCTATCATTTGGATGAAATATTGGAAATATTGACATGTCAAAAAATAAAAAACGCTTATCTTGGATGAAGTTCTTTTAGAGAGGTGTTGAAACAGATGTGGTGATCACATGGAAATATTGACATGTTAAAAAATAAAAGATGCTTATCTTGGATGAAGTTCTTTTAGAGAGGTGTTGAAACAGATGTGGTGATCACATGGAAATATTGACATGTCAAAAAATAAAAAACGCTTATCTTGGATGAAGTTCTTTTAGAGGGGTGTGGAAACAGACATGGGGATCACATGAAAATATTGACATATCAAAAAATAAAAGACACTTATCTTGGATGAAGTTCTTTTAGAGGGGTGTGGAAACAGACATGGGGATCACATGAAAATATTGACATGTCAAAAAATAAAAGTTTATTCTTTATGAAGAACCTTTTTTTATTAATTTTTTCATTTCTTGAACACAATGATTGAAAGCCACTGGAATTGACAAGATCCAAAAATTAGGTAAAACATTTTTATGCCAGAGATAAAAAGGGGAATATTTTTTAAAGTTTTAATTCTTAATTAAGTTATGATATTTTCAAGCTTAAACTTTAGGAATAAGCATGTTATGTGAAAATACATATTTTTAAATGGAGTTAAAAATGACACTCAACCATTACAAGTAGCAATACTATAATGGTAATACAATAAATTTAATCTGAAACACAAAATACCCACAATTATTTGAGTAGAAATCATGTCAATATCAGTAATAATATAACAGTAGTACCAATAATGAATCTGATAATAAAACACTGACAGGTACTTGTTGTAATCATATAAGTAGTAATAATAATCATAGTACAAAAATAATTTCATTAATTAACCAGATGATAATACAAATAACACCGTGAAAAATAAATATTCATAGTCAAAGTATTCCTAAGAAAATTGTACTTGTTTAAAATGCCCTTCTATGCATGAAGCACCCAGTAATAGGTGTTGATATTTGTATGGGTAGTAAGAGGATCTATAGAATGAGTGAGCTTGGTTTGTGGTGCTGTGGGTTGGTCTGTGTTACAGTGTGTTGTTAGTAGTGCTTGACCCAGTGTTTAATCTTTTCCTTACAGAACACTCACATGAGGCCCTCTACACCGCAGCAGCCAGTTTCACAACCGTCCCCCCATCCCCAGCCCCCTCATGGGCAAATGATGCAGAACCAGGTGAGTTACCTCCCTCTACTTATCCCCCTAGTTTTAGACATTCACCTGATTGTCTCCCTCTCTTTCTTGTAGATGCTGGCTTCTATGTTTTGTGATTGTTGTTTTTTGTCATAGAGCCTATTTATACAAAACAACCCAGGTGGCATTTTTATGTGTGTGTATGTGTCTTGGTAGACAAAACATTAAAATACACAATTGAAAAGAAAATCTAATTTGTTGTGTTTTATACTTCTAGAAAATCTTTTGTCATTCTTTATAAGGTATTTTATATTGCCATTCTTATTATTCTCTTTGAATAAAAGACTGCAAGTGAATGAGTGTTTGTAAATATCAGAGAAGGGAATGTTTTTGTTCATTTCCAAGTGAAGTTTTTATGGTTACTGCAAGAAATCATCCAGCAGGAGGATGGTCATCAATCATCTTTGTTATTTTTATTTGATTATTTGTTTTGGCAGGGACTGAGGCCTCGAACCAGGGGTTGTCAGAAAAATCCTTTTTTTCTCTCTCTCTCTATTGAGTCGCATCATTGATTGCATGTTGATTACTTTTATATGCCAGTGACCAGAAAGAGTGCTAAAAGGTTTAAATCACCATTGATGTTTATAATTATGTGGATTTATTGCGAAGAAAATCATTAAAAAAATATTATCAGTTTCCAGTCAGTCATTTTCTACCTTTAAACAGTACTTGTAAACCAAAACTTGCAGTTGAAACTGATTAATTTAAAGCACAAATACTTAAGTTACAGAAACAAATAACAACTGGCCAGGCAAAAAAAATAAATAATAGTAATAATAATTGAAGTTAGAACATTAAATTCACTAATTACGTTATATATCTGGAAATTGTCCGTTACAATTTATATATCCTTTTTCTTTAATCATAATAAAATAATTACATAATATTTTCAATAACAATGCTTAAATTAAAAGCTACAAGGTAAAAGTTAATTTATAGTTCTTCAACGTCCGATAGATGGCGAAATTGGAGATAGTATATCTGGACACCAAATCCTCAGTGAAATAATGATATTGTGTGAACTTATTTTGACCATTTCTTCTTTAGACATTTCAGAAAGTTGAGCTCAAAATGACATAAATTATTTTATTTCCAACAGAGTAATAAAAAGCATGACGTCACAACTCGTGGTGGATCACTTCACATACTGTAAGCTGAAAAGATTGACTATAAGCTAAAGAAATAATTTTTACTCCATCTAGATGTGATTTTTAAAGACAAGAAATAACCAATATTAAACAGTTGACAGTTGAAGCATGGTTAGTTTTATTGAGGATAGATGGCGCGAATAGATAAGTAAAGAAATAACTGTGATTAAGTTAATTTTTCTGTATATTGGGTTATATTTATTTTGTTACTTTGTTAGTTGTTTCAGAAAATGGCTATCGGGTAATTAAGGTGCCATGCCAGTCAAGATGTTATACTTTAAAAAATGGAGCGGCTAAATAAATAACTGTGCAATTTTTGTTCATAGTTTTCTGAGAATTTCAAAATCATAAAGTATATTTATTATTTAACGACATAAGAAATAACATAATAAATTAGTTCTTACTAGAGTAAATAACAACCTGCGTTTATAGTTGAGGAAGACTGTAATTAACAAAGAAAAAACCATTACTTTGATTTATAATAAGTCTTTTGAGATATAAATATGCGGAGAAGTGATCCACCAGGGGCTGTGAGCCATGCTTTTATTAGTCTAATGTATTTTAGTATTTTTATATTGATTATTATTCTCCAGTCTATATATACTTTCTTATACCAGTTTCATAACATGTTATTATCCTTTATCTTGGTTACATTAGTTGCTTTGGTCTGTATAGCAAAGTCTTGGTGAAAACATATTGTTTTGTTTATGGTCGGGATGAAAATGTACCAGCAAGAAAGTTTTTATTTTCTACCCAGCGGTTTAATATTGCTTTTCATTTCTTTAACTTATTATTAGCTCGATGCACCAAGTAATGAAATCTTAACAGATTAGACGTTATGCCTCAGCGCTTAAAATGTATAATTGGGCTTCTCGTTTACCGTGTGCTGACTATTAAAGGTAATTGTAGCAGTAAGTACGTCATTTCTAGATGTTTTTATTTAATAACCCACCAATCATAATAATAGCTTTGCTAGTTAAACATTCTAGTCTCGTTACATAACTTGTTATGTATGGGGAACGGTGTAAAGTTGGTTTTTCCTGCAGACTGGGTGCTCGTACTCTCTCCTCCACTGGTGAACCAGTTCCTTACCTAGTGGAAATGTGAAATCGACACCCAGCTCGTTAATTATTGTACCACATCCTTTATCAGAATCACACGGGGTTTGCAGGGACGAATTCTCCTTCTTATCTATCTGTGCAGCCACGTTGTGCCAATGAAGGGTGTCAGGGATGGTTAAACAATAAAAATAAATCTTTGTCGTAAACTAAGAAATGACAGTGCAGAATGTGATTTAAAAGTTATAATCAATCGGTTAGAGAGCGGGTGGAGGTTTAGAATATAACAGTTAGTAGTAATAGGCCTTAATGGAGAAAATATCGAGTATGTTAATATTGTGTAAGTACGTAAATAATTGTATTGTTACTTGTGACACAGTTATACAAATAACAGTTGGTGTAAGAGAAGAAGACACGTAGTTCTGTAACAAATAATATTTGAGTAACTAACGTCACGCAGTTCTGTAACAAATAACATTTGAGTAACTAACGTCACGCAGTTCTGTAACAAATAATATTTGAGTAACTAACGTAGATTAATCGATATTTCAAATCTTGAAGAATTAAAAGTATCTTTCAAACTCCTCTTTGTATTATTCACCGTGTTTCCTTTGATATGACTATTGATCACTGAAAACGTCGTAAAATTGGTCCGGCTTGCACTCAGTTGAAAGTGGTTGTTCCGGCTAAAGCCAAACAGCCAACGTGAACGTGTGGTAGAAGAACGATCAAAACGCTAGAACGACTGGAACTTCAATTGAATTATTCTTATTATAGATTTTAGAACGACGACGTTGTAGATATATATTAAACGTTTTCGGTACCAATACTTTAGCTTCGATCTCGTACCAGTATAAACTGTTCCACATATAGTTTAAATTGACTTCTATTATCACGGATCTCTCCGAACAAGGGTATATGTGATGTCATTAAAAACTGTTACACGTCACACAAAACCATTTGCTCTGACTGGTGTAGCTACACGACTTTACAGATTACAACCAAAAGTCTCGATACTTCATTTTATATGCATGATGTTGCCTTAAAAAGTTTCGAGTTTGGTAGACGTTAACGCCTGCTATCACTAAATCAGTGAATTCTGGATCCTGCGCAGTCGACAAAAATCCCTTTCTCATTTGTTCTTCCAGCTAGTCAGCATCCTTGAGGAATACATATTGATCTCTATGCTAAATTCTCCTTTTCATAGGAGGACCCACTGGGATGTCGTACTTTTCAGTTTTCGCCTTATACCAAAATACTTTCTGCAGTGTATGTACCCATGATATAAATCACGAAGATTAAGGATTCTCATAGTTCGTTAAGTCGATTTCGTTGTTGTTAAGCACAAATCTGCACAATAAGTTATCAACACTGTGTCTACTGCGAGAATTGAACCACACTAATTTTAGCATTATAAGCTCTACAGCTTATCCCTGCTCCACGGGGCTAACGCGAGGCGTGTACATTAATAGCGACACACTTGCTGTTTGGACTGTCGACATAGAGAACTTAGCCAGATCTGCATTTTAATCAGGGGATGCTATCTGTAGAGAACTGAGCCAGATGAACATCCTAATCACGGGATACCATCTGTCGACGTAGAGAACTGAGCCAGATGTGCATCGTAGTCACGGGATGCCAACTGTCGACGTAGGGAACTGAGCCAGATGTACATCCTAATCAGGGAATGCCAGCTGTCTCACTTTTTGACATACTGAGCTGACGTATTATGATAAATGCGTAATATTCTTATTAATATTTGTGTATAGATTTCTATGATAACAAAACGTATTTTTACCGCAAAAAAAAGCCATATTACTGTAATAAGTTTAAAGCATATACTTTAGTGATTCGTAGACCAATATTGTGTTATTTTCAAGTTTATTTACTAATATTTCACTGTCTCTTAACAAGAATACAAAATATTAATACGAGTTTATTTACTTTTGCTGTAAATAAAAATTTTCTCTTGTTGTATTCAGCTTAACAATTCTAAGTAAAGATGAATGTGACGACTCCTTGTGGCAGATAATGGATATATATATTAAAAGTTTTTAGATTTATACAGTTACGCATTTCAAGCTCACGAAAATACTGCGTACCAAAATACATTGTTTGATGACAGATACGCGTATTACGTGTCTGAAAATAGGCTGTAACGTAGGGTAAATTTTGACCTTCGAAGGTTCGGAACACATTACCTAACGAAGGTTTGAACCTTCGGTAGTGCAAAATCGCATAATTTACTGATGACGTCACCATAACTATTAATTTGTGTAACTGATTGAAAACCCTTTTACATAAACTGTTTAAAATACGTTATATGGAGCAGTAATCACGTCTTTATTGTAAATAAAAAATCCATGTTATATACTTGTACTTTATGCTACATACTTATATATAAGGATGAAGAGAAAGCTTACATTGCTAGAGCTCACTATCGTGACCAGTTGTAAGAACTGCGCCAAAACAAATATTTATTTAACAGTCACCATTCCAAGCAGGTTAACACTCGTTTTTTTATAACTGTTGATTAATTAATTGTTTATTTGTAGTAAAGCACGAAGCTACACAATGGTCTATCTGTGCTCTGTCCACCAAGTGTATCGAAACCCGGTTTCTAGCGTTGTAAGTCTGCAGACATGCCGCTGTGCCACTGAGGGCTTCTGGCATTGTAAGTCCGCAGACATACTCAATAAACATATTAGATAAACAGCAAAACAGAACAGAAATAACACAACAATTCGATTATAAAATAAATACTAACAACAATCAG